GTTTAGTTTGAGATTACGTTTGGCGGGGACTGGTTGGACTAAAGGGTCTGTTTCCGTGTTGTATGACTCTATGACTATGACTGTATGACTTCTTGACACAAAATTATGGAAAAAGATATCCCTTGTCAAATATCTCATGTTACCAGTCTGTGAGGCAAGAGTAGTTCATGACCTGGACCATCTCTTCTGCAAGCTCCTGGAGATGAATTCCTCAGATATTTTTGAAGTTTTTTTTATTTAAGTTTTAAGACCTTAGGTATGATCACTTAGATCGCTGACAAGGTTGCCATTAAGATGATTAAAGTGAAAGAATTAAAAACACATCCATATAAGAAAATTAAAGAGCAGATCTCTATAGCTCTGCCAATGTGATGAAAACTCTTCTTTGTACCTAAGAATACTGATTATCTTCAAGTCTGTTCTTTCTGCAGTTGTTTCCGGCTTAGACTTGGGAACCAGGTGACTTTTCAATCTTGTAACCATTCATATTGCATTGCTTTTACATAATTGGTATATTAATTTTATGAATTAACAAACATTCAGATATGAAAATGCTTCTTCTATATCTTCTAGAACTTTGTCTCCTTAATTTTCTTTCTTTGTAATCTGTATGGTGGGTATTTGCTTTCAGCGTGAAGAGAAAGCTCATGTGTACTGCTAACCATCTTGATATTCCAGATGTCCAAATCCAATGTCGTCTAGCAGGCTTAATCATTAACAATTCTTTAACATGGACTTATGTATGAGGATTAGCACACGGTATTTGATTTAGATAGAGTCATAGAGTCATAGAGCTGTACAGCATGGAAACAGAACTCATCCATGTTGACCAGATATCCTAAATAAATCTAGTCCCATTTGTCAGCATTTGGCCCATATCCCTCTAAACCCTTCCAATTCATATGTCCTTCCAGATGCCTTTTAAATGTTGTAATTATACCAGCTTCCACCATTTTCTCTGGCAGCTCATTCTATACACACACCACCCTCTGTGTGAAAAAGTTGCCCCTTAGGTCCCTTTTAAATCTTTCCCCTCTCACCTAAAACCTGTGGCCTCTAGTTTTGGACTCCCCTACCGTGGGGAAAAGACCTTGACTATTCACCTTATCCAAGCCCCTCATAATTTTATAAACTTCTATAAGGCCACCCCTCAGCCTCCAATGCTTCAGGGAAAATAGACCTAAACTGTTCAGCCTCTCCCTATAGCACAAACCATCCAACCCTGGCAACATCCTTGTAAATCTTTTCTGAACCTTTTTAAGTTTCACAACATCCTTACTTTAGCAGGGAGACCAGAATTGAATCCAGTATTCCAAAAGTGGCCTAACCAATGCCCTGAAAAGCTGCAACACGACCTCCAACTCCTATACTCAATGCACTGACCAATAAAGGCAAGCATACTCAATGCCTTCTTCACTATCCTAACTACCTGCGACTCCATTTTCAAGGAACTATGAACCTACACTCCAAGGTGTCTTTGTTCAGCAACACTCCCCAGTACCTTACCATTAAGTGTATAAGTCCTGCCCTGATTTGCCTTTCCAAAATGCAGCACCTCACATTTATCTAAATTAAACTCCATCTGTCACTCCACGGCCCATGGGCCCATCTGATCAAGATCCCACTATATTCTGAGTTACCTTCTTCATTGTCCACTACACCTCTAATGTTAGTGTCATCTGCAAACTTACTAACCATACTTCCTATGTTCACATCCATATAATTTATATAAATGACAAAGAGCAGCGGACTTAGCACCGATCTTTGTGGCACACTGCTGGTCACACGTCTCCCTACCTTCGAGCCAGTTCTGTATCCAAGTGGCTAGTTCTCCCTGTATTCCATGTGATTTAACCTAGCTAAGTCTGCCATGTGGAACCATGTTGAATGCATTACTGAAGTCCATTTGGATCATGTCCACTGCTCTGCCTTCATCAATCCTCTTCATTACTTCTTCAAAAACTCCATTAAGGCAGTGAGACACAATTTCCCACACACAAAGCCATGTTACTATTCCTAATCAGTCCTTGCCTTTCCAAATACATGTAAATCCTGTCCCTCAGGATCCCCTCCAACAATTTGCCCACCACTGATGTCAAGCTCACAGGTCTACAGTTCCGTGGCTTTTCCTTACCACCTTTCTTAAATAGTGGTACCACGTTAGCCAACCTCCACTCTTCCGGCACCACACCTGTGGCTATTGATGATACAAATATCTCAGCAAGGGACCCCAGCAATCACCTCCCTAGCTTCCTACAAAGTTCTAGGGTACACCTGATTAGGTCCTGGGGATTTATCCACCTTTATACATTTTAAAACATCCAGCACCTTCTCCTCTATAATATGGACATTTTTCAAGATGTCAGTATTGTTTCCCCAAGTGCTGTAATTTTAATATCCTTCTCCACTGTAAATACTGATGCAAAATACTCATTTAGTATCTCCCCCATCTCCCGTGGTTTCATACATAGGCAGCCTTGCTGATCTTTAAGCGTCTCTCTCTATTCTCTCCCTTGTTACCCTTTTGTCCTTAACCCTATTTGCCAAAACTATTTCATGTCCCCTTTTTCTCCTCCTGATTTCCCTCTTAAGTGTACTTATACTGCCTTAATACTGTTCTAGAAATTGACTCAATCCCTGCTGTCTATACCTGACATATGCTTCCTTCTTATTCTTGACTAAAACCTCAATTTCTCTAGTCATCTAGCATTCCCTACATCTACCAGCCTTGCCCTTCACCCTAACAGGAGCATCCTGTCTCTGGACTCTCGTTATCTCATTCTTGAAGGCATTTCGCATTTACCTTTACCTGCAAACATCTATCCTCAATTAACTTTTGAAAGTTCTTGCCTAATACCGTCAAACATGGCCTTCTTCCAATTTAAAACTTTAACTTTTAGATCCAGCCTATTCTTTTCAATCACTATTTTAAAACAAATAGGATTATGGTCACGGGCACCAAAATGCTCCCCCACTGACACCTCAGTCACCTGCCCTGCCTTATTTCCCAAGAGTGGGTCAAGTTTTGCACCTTCTCCAGTAGGCACAAAAAACATACCGAATCAGAACATTTTCTTGTGCACACTTAACAAATTCTTCTCCTTCCAAACCCTTAACACTATGGCAGTCCCAGTCTATGTTTGGAAAGTTAAAATCCCATACTATAACCTCCCTATTATTCTTGCAGATAACTGAGATCTTACAAACTTGTTTCACAATTTCCTGCTGTCTATTGCGGGGTCTACAGTTCAATCCCAATAAAGTGATAATCCCTTTCTTATATCTCAGTTCTACCCAAATAACTTCCCTGGACTTATTCCCAGGAATATCCTCTCTAAGTACAGCCATAATGTTATCCCTAATCAAAAATGCCACTGTCTCTTCCTCCTCCTCTCTTCCTCCTCCTCCCTTCCCCCCCCCCCCCCCCCGCCCCGCTCACCCCGACTTTCTATCCTTCCTGTGGCATCTATACCCTGGAACATTAATTGCCAGTCCAGTCTATCCCTGAGCCATATCTTTGTAATCGCTATGAAAACACAGTCCCGTGTTCCCAACCTGAGTTCATTTGCCTTACCTTTTATTTTAATTTATCAGTCCTACCTTGTTCCCTGCTTTGTTCCTGCCTGCCCTGACTGTTTGACTTGGGTATAGATGTTGAGAGGTCATGTTGTGGCTGTACAGGACATTGGTTAGGCCACTTTTGGAATACAGCATTCAACTCTGGTCTACCTACTGTAGGAAGGATGTTGTGAAACTTGAAAGAGTTCAGAAAATATTTACAAGGATGTTGCTGGGATTACAGTGTTTGAGCTACAGGGAGAGGCAGAATAGGCTGTGGCTATTTTCCCTCAAGTGTCGGAGGCTAAGGGGTATCTTTATAGAGGTTTATAAAATCATGAGGGGCATGGACAGGGTGAATAGCCAACGTATTTTTCCCAGGGTGGGGGAGTCCAAAATTAGAGGGAATACGATTCAGGTGAGAGGGGAAAGATTTAAAAGAGACCAGAGGGGCAACTTTTTCACACAGAGGGTGGTGCATGTATGGAACGAGCCACTAGAGGAGGTGTTGGAGGTCGTTACATTTGCCACATCTAAAAGGCATCTGGATGGGCACATGAATTGGAAGGGTTTAGAGGGATATGGGTCAAATGCTGGAAATGGGACTAGATCAGTTTAGGATATCTGACCTTGTATTGGCAGATTCCCACTTTGGTTATCTTCCTGTGCTTGAAGGAACAAATTCAATTTGAATTGCCTTGTGTGACGATGTGTTGGAGCTTTATTGTATCACCCAGTTAGTGAAATTGATATACAAACTGTATGATGAGAAGTTGGCTGCCTGCCACAAAACAGTTTATTGTAAAATTGACCTAGCTGGAAATACAGTAGTAATGTACTTTTTTATCTGGACTTTTTTTTTAAAGGAACAGTAAGCTGGTACTATTTAATTGTTAGTTGAACACATGGGCACACTTTGTAGCTTCTGTACTCAGCTACCAGATAGTGGTATTGTGGCTTTGCTAAGACCTGGTGCTACCAGGGCGAAGTGTTTAATCTGTCTGACCTACCAAAGCTGCAGTGCTAAACTTCTTATTCATTTGATAGATAGACAGTTTTCCTGCTGGACAATAATTGCCTGTTTTTCATTTGGTAAATTAAGTGGCTGTTACCCTTAAACCCTGGGCAGAATAGAATGGAAGTAGTGAATGTAACACTAGAATTTATCAAATTATCACATTGCGAGGTTTCTAAAACAGCACGGACATGAAAATATTCCCTGAAGTGGGCTGTATTTAAATTGGTAGTGGCATACCATAGAGATAAGGGAAGTTTTATGTCATTCTGCGTTTTGACTAATTTGGGGCATAATTTGATTTCAGACAATGTAAAAATGACACACTGTGGCCTTCGAGTGCAAGGAAGTGTGAAGATGGAGCCCATGGAGAGGGTCAAGTGCAATTTAACTGTCTTTGTTAAATTCTCATTTGGTTTTCTTTTAGATGAAGTTAAGGATTCTTCAGTCATATGTAGACGATCTTAGTGATCAGAATCAAGTTTTGGTCCAAACTGTTGAAAATCTTGAGAGAGAAGAAAATGAAAAGATTGCAAATCTGGATGCTAAACTTTGGAGAGCTGACCAGGCATTATATGTAAGATGGCATGCTCTCTTTCTGTTTATTTTTCACTTACAGCATAAATGAACGACAAAGGTGAAAAATTGTAATCTTTAGAACTAGTTCTTGGCTAAATTAGAGAAATGTTTTATGATCAGAATATAATTGCAAGGCTTGGAAACTGTCTAATTTAATAAGTTATTTGAAATGGATAGGGATGAACTAGAATGGCATTGACATGAAATACATAGACAAGAGCTTAAGTTAAGTTTAAATTGAAAGTTTTTCTATTAAAGATATTTAACTATTTAAAAAAGGAGATAGAAAACTGGGAAATACAGACTGGTTAACCTAATGTTGGTAATGGGGAAATTGCTAGAGTCCATTATAGAAGATCGAAATAGCAGAACATTTAGAAAACGGTGACAAGATCAGAATCAGCATGGATTTAGAAGGGATAAATCACATTTGACAAATCTTCTGGAACTTTGAGCTGATATAGCTAGTAGAATTAACAAGGGGAACCATTGGGTATGATTTACCTGGACTTTCAGAGGCCTTTGATAAGGTCCCAGGCAGGAAACAAAGAGAAGGGATAAACAAGTCTTTTTCTAAGTACCAGGTTAGTGGGGTACCATGCAGATCAGTGCTTGGACCTCAGCTATTTACAATATTAATGATTTAGGTGAGAGAACTAAATGTAATCTGTTCAAGCTTACAGACAACACAAAGTTGGGTGAGGGGAGGAACTGTGAGGAGGGTGCAGAGATACTTTAGTATGATTTGGACGGGTTGAGTGAGTGGCAAACACATGGCAGGTGAAGTATAATGTTGATAAATGACATAGAGACACAGAGTCCTATAGCACGGAGGTAGGCCCTTCAGCCCAAACTGGTGCACTCTGACCAAAATGTCCATCCACGCTAACCCCATTTCCCTGCACTTGGCCCATATCCGTCTAAACCTTTCCTATCCATGTATTCGTCCAAATGTATTTTAAATGTTGTTAAAGTACCTGTCTCAACCACTTCTGCTGGCAGCTCATTCCATATGCATATTATCCTCTGTGTAAAAAAAGTTACCCCTCAGGGTTCCATTATTCTTTCTCCTCTTACCTTAAACTGACGCCCTGTAGTCCTCGATTCCCCAACTCTGGGAAAACACTGAGTGCATTCACCCTATCCATGCTTCTCATGATCTTATGCACTTCTATAAGTACCCCCTCAGTCTCCTATGCTTTAAAGAAAAAACTCCAAGCTTCTCCAACCTCTCCCTATAACTCAGTCCCTTAAGTCCTGGCAACATCCTTGAAAATTTCTTCTGCACTCTTTCCAGTTTGATAACATCCTTCCTATAGCAAGGTGACCAAAACTGAACACAGTATCCCAAGATGGCCTCACCAACATCCTCTGTAGTTGCAACATAACTTCCCAACTTCTGTACAATGCCCTGACTGATGAAGGCCCATATGCCAAAAGCCTTCTTCACTGCTCTGTCTACCTGTGACTCCACTTTTAGAGAACTGTGCACCTGAACTCCAGGGTCCGTCTGTTCCACTACACTCCCTAAGGCCCTACTATTTGCCATGAAACTCCTACCTTCACTTGACTTTACAAAATGCAACACCTCACACTCATCTATATTAAACTCCATTTGCCATTTCTTGGTCCACTTCCCCAGCTAATCAAGATCCTGCTGCAATTTCTGATAATCTTCCTCACTGCCCATGATACTGCTTACTTCAGTGTCATCTGCAAATTTACTAATCATGCCTTGTACATTCACATCCAAATCATTGATATAGATAATAAACAGCAATGGGTCCAGCACCGAGCACTGAGGCACACCACTAGTCACAGGCCTCCAGTCTGACAAGCATCCTTCCACCATGACTCTCTGCTTCCTACCAATAAAGCCAATTGTGTATCTAATTTGCCAACTTTCCCTGGATCCATGCGCTCTAACCTTCCAGAGCAGCCTACCATGTGGAACCTTATCAAAGGCCTTACTGAAATCCATACAGAATGCGTCTACCACCTTGCCCTCATTACCCTTCCTGGTCACTTCAAAGAACTCTAACAAATTTGTGAGGCATGATCTCCCATGCACGAAGCCCTGCTGACTACTCCTAATCAAATGTTGTGTTTCTAAATGCATGTATGTCTTATCTTTTAGAATCTTCTCAAGTAACTTACCTACCACAGGTGTTAAGCTATATGAGCTGCTGGTCTCTAATTCCCAGGTTTTTCTCTGCAGCCCTTCTTGAATAAGGGCACAATATTCACTACCCTCCGATCTTCTGGGACGTCGCCCATGGCTAACGATGATGCAAATATATCAGCCAGGACCCCCACAATTTCTTCACTAGCCTCTTGCTGTGTTCTTGGATATATCTGATCAGGACCAGGAGATTTATCCACCTTCATACATTCTAATACTTCTAACATCTCCTCTACTGTGATATAGAGCGTCCCCAAGGTATCACCACTAACTTCCCCAAGTTTCCAAGTCTCCATGTCTTTCTCCATGGTAAACACAGAGGAGAAATATTCATTGAGGACCTCGTTCATCTCCTGCGGTTCCACACATACATGTCCACTTTTGTCCTTGAGGAGTCCTTTTCCCTATCTCGTTATTCTTTTTCCTTTAATATTCTTAAAGAATCTCTTTGGATTCACCCTAATCTTCTCAGCCAAAGCTACGTCATGCCCATTTTTCGCCCTCCCGATTTCTTTCTTTAGTAAATCCCTGTATCCCATTTATGCCTCCATGGATTCTGTTGATCCCAGCAGTCTGTTCCTGAGCCATGCCTCCTTTTTTCTGGTCAAAGCCTCAATATCTCTTGTCATCCAGGGTTCCCTACTCCTGCCAACCTTGCCATTCACCATCGGAGGAACATATAGACCTTGAACTCTAGCTATTACAGTTTTAAAGGCCTCCCACTTGCCAGAGGCCCCTTTGCCTGCAAACAAACTATTCCAATCAACTCCTGTGAGCTCCTGTCTAATTCCATCAAAATTCACCTTGCCCCAATTTAGAACTTGAATCTGTGGACCAGTTTTGACCTTCTCCATAACTACTTTAAAATTAATAGAACTATGGTCACTGGTCCCAAAGTGTTCCTTCATTTGTCACCTCAATCACTTGTCCTGTCCTATTTCCCAAGAGTAGGCCGAGTTTTGCCCCTTCCCGAGTAGGACCCTCTATTTACTGCTTGAGGAAACATTCCTGAACACATTTTACAAATTACACCCCATCTAAGCCCTTAACACTATGGCAGTCCCTGTCCATGTAAGGAAAATTAAAATCTCCCTCTATGACAACCCTATTGTTGCTGCAAGTCTCCCCAGCTGCCCTGCACATTTGATCCTCTAATTCCCATTGACTATTTGGGGGCCTATAGTACAACCTCAATAACGTCACCATCCCCTTCTTATTTCTTAGCTGCACTCACAAAGCCTCACTCGATGATCCCTCAGTTATTTCATCTCTGATTACTGCTGTGATACTCCCCTTAATCAAAAATGCAACTCCCCCTCCCCTCTTTCCTCCACCTCTGTGCTGCCTAAGTACCTGTACCCTGACACATTAAGTTGCCAGTCTTGTCCCTCCCTTAGCCATGTTTCTGTAATGGTGATAAAATCACAGTCCCACATACCTATCTACGCCCTGAGTTCATTGGCCTTACCTGTCAGCTCTCTTGAACTGAAACAGATGCAATTTAACCCAACAGGTATTCCTCACTCCCTGTCCTGTTCCACCGTGACTTGTCTCTTCAACTTGCTATTTCTGATTATTGTATCTCCTTCTAGCATCACACTAGCCACCCTGCTGTTGAGGATCCCAATCCCCTGCCAATCTAGTTTAAACACTCCCTTGCAACACTAGCAAACCTACCTACAATTTCTGTAATAGCTATGATATCCCAATCCCAAGATCACAACCATGCCCTTGGTTCATCTGCCTTAGCTGTCAGGCTTCTGGCATTGAGATAAATACAGTTTAAGTAATCAGTCTTACCTCGGTCTCTGCCAAGCTCTTGTCTGCCTTACTAAAAACCGAAAGAACTGTGGATGCTGTAAATCAGGAACAAAAACAGATGTTGCTGGAAAAGCTCAGCAGGTCTGGCAGAATCTGTGAAGAAAAAAATCAGAGTAAACATTTAGGGTCTGGTGATACTTCCTTAGATCTGATGGTATCTAGGAAAATGTTGGTTTATATGCAGAAAACAGGGAAAGGGATGGGGTAGGAAATAAATGACAGAATAGAGGATAGAGCCCAAAGAGACACAACAGCAGTGGGACAGACAGAGGAACATAGAACATAAAACATGGAACAGTACAGCACAGTACAGGCCCTTCACCCCACGATGTTGTGCCGACCTATTATCCTACTAAGATCAAACTACCCTGCATACCCTACATTTTACTATCCTCCATGTGCCTATCCATGAGTCACTTAAAAGTCCCTAAAGTATCTGACTCCACCACCACTGCCGGCAGCACATTCCACATGCCCACCATTCTCCCTTATACCATCCTCCACTCACCTTAAAATTATGCCCCCTTGTAAAAGTCATTTCGGCACTGGGAAACAGTCTCTGGCTATCCACTCTATCTATGCCTATCATCATCTTGTACACCTCTATCAAGTCACCTCTCATCCTTCTTCGCTCCAATGAAAAAAGCCCTAGCTCCCTCAAACTTTCCTCTTAAGACTGGCCCTCCAGTCCAGGCAGCATCCTGGAAAATCTCCTCTGCACCCTCTCTAAAGCTTCCACACCTTTCCTATAATGAGGTGACCAGAACAGAACACATTATTCCAAGTGTGGTCTAACCAGAGTTTTACAGAGCTGCAGCATAACCTCACAGCTCTTAAACTCAATTCCCCTGCCGATAAATGCCAACACACCATACGCCTTCTTTACAACCCTATCAACTTGGGTGGCAACTTTGAGGGATCTATGGACATGGATCCCTCTGCTCCTCCACACTGCCAAGAATCCTGCCATTAACCCTGTATTCTGCATTCAAATT